TTATCGAGAGGGAAATCTTTCGATACTGTAAAAGTAGAAACTAAATCAAAAGGTGGACGAACAGCAAACATTGTTTGGAAGGAAGTATTATAAAAGTCGTAATATTAATAAAGATTACCAGATGGAGGGAACTACTCCTGAGAATATGCGTACATGCAATTCTACCGACAGAGATGTCTATTTTACAAGAAATATTGTTGTTAATAAAACAAAGCCTCATTCACGCTGTGTTACATATGAGTTAACAAATGTACGTGCTTTCTCTGTAGGTGCTTTTAGGAAGTGTGTGGATATTGTTCTGGATTAATTGATTTTCAAAACGGAAAAAAATACATCGGGACGATTTTCTCTGTGTTATATGGAATGTGTTATACTTTAATTTGGTCATAAGGCGAAATTAATCCAGCAGCCCTATAAGAGTTTAATTAAAGTTGTACCGCCCTTATTAAGTTTAGTATTTTATTTTTTTATTATTAATTTCAATGCTGCGGAGCAGCACGGGTCATCTAGTTTACCTTTACTTTAAATTGAACCAAACTAATAAATTCTTTGCGCGATTTAGAGAACTTTAAATCAAGAACAAGCTGACATAAGTTTGTAAGTAAACATTAATTTGACAGGTGAACTTAAACTACTCTTGATTAGATCATTAGATCTACCACCTATATCCCCTCTTCTTTGAGGGATGAGCACTAATGGGTGTAATATTGACCTGTCTTATTAATAGCCTCGGAAACATTACCTTCGGCTGAGTTACATAAGTGGATTACCCAGATTAACATTGATTGTAGAAGTGACATTAACAGTAATGACACTTATTAAGAAATCGAGATATTATTGCACTGATCAATGAAATTAAATATAACGTTTTTACGTTGTTTTGATTTTATACTATCAGTCTGAATGACCTATTAACTGTTGTCATAATGAAATTATTTCTGTATTAAGTTGTTTTGAAAAAAGAAAATGCAAAACCAAAAATAATTAAATAAACTAATAAATCTCTTAACAAAACGCACAGCCTGATACAACGTAAAAATTGTAAACGAAGTGTTTGCAAGGAGAGTTAATAGACGTATTTATAATTAAAAGGAATTCATTAAAAGGAATTTACAAAACATTGATCTCTCATGCAAATTTTGCTATTAATTTAGTACTAGGCATACTATTAGGCTATATTGATCATGAATGTAAATATGCATGTGGATATCATCTAATTGCACAGTTCCATCAGCCGTAAACCCGGCAAATTAGCGTGGAACTTCCCAATAACTCGCTTTGAGCCAAAAATTGATTTTTTTAAAGGATTTTCAGCAAGTTTACATTTGATTGTAATTGATATAAAACTGTTAAGATCGTATGTAAACACACGTGAAGAAGGCTCCTACGTGTACAGAAGCAATTGAAAATACTTTGATCGAGAGGAACTTAAATATACTCAAGACAGTACTTTTGAAACCAAATATGTCTGAGTGTGTTCAAAAAGACCAAATAAAAAATACTGAAATATCACGATTTCTAGTCGTAAATATGAAAACCTGACTAGCTTAGCCATGTTCTACGTTGTTGTATTCGATCTTTTTGAACTTGGTGTCGTTAGATAGGTGTCTAAATGCTAAATAAAAGTGCTATTGGTATTTTTTACAAAATAAGCCATTTTACAGTAATTTAAATAAAAATATATAAAATGGCTACCATTTTTAAATTTTTATTGGTTAAAGATTACTTTTTTTCTAGCAAGGGTCTCCTCTACCTTTACATTCATACCAAGTATCATAATGATGGGTAAAATTTCAAAGATAAAAATGTGAAAAAAACAAAATTGTAGATATTTGGGATTTCTGAGAAACTGACATTCTTGATTAGGTCTTAATTTTAACCATAGAACCATGTCCCAGAATTTGGCTGTTTACTTATGGAACACCCTGTGTAATACTAGCCAAGCCGTGCGAATCATTCGCACTATATCCTACTTAAATTCAACTTTATTTTAACTTTTTATAGTTAGTACCATGTAGTTAATGTGTTTTTTTTTGTAGGTTTAGTAAAGTATAGTTATTTTTCTATAATGCAATTTTATAATTGGCTCTCATAATTAAATCAATATATTTATCTACAAACTTAGGATAGGTCTGAAATAAAAAATCAGAATTACAGAATAGTGCTAAGTAAATATTGTGATTGAATACCAATATACTATTTGTATGTTGCATACACTATGAAGATGATATTCATTTTACATGCTGATGATTGATTTCAAAGCGCTTCACAACTGTGCTGGTTAAACTATCCTCGGATTGTCTATCTCTTTTAGAGATGAGCTCTAATGGTTGTGATATTGACTTTATTAATGGCCTGGGAAAGAATACCTTCAGCTGAGTTACATTAAGAGGATTACCCAGATTAACAGTGATTGTAGAAGAGATTATCAACGAATGCACTACTTTGAGGAATCGTGGTATTATTCTGTTAAGTGTTAAATCAAATACCACATTTAAATTTTGTTTCAAATAGGATTTAGGTTTTTTAGTAAATATTTAAATATTCAATTTCTGTAAGAAAAATTATTTTATCAAACGTAGAAAATTGTTAGTAGTTTAAATTGGTAACTTATTACCGAAATATTTTACAAAACTTATGTTTATTACACACATAAATTTCCTAATACATGCCTAGTTTTGTGATGTGAACATGAAAATATCTTCAATTTTTGCACTTTGGTGTTAGTTATTTAAATAATTTAGTTTTTGTTTTATTTTACTGTATACACATATTTATTGGCTTTAAAAATTGTTTAATTTTAACCCAAAATTTTTTTTAATGACTCAATTTCTAGAATTGAATTTTATAGTGAACAATTAGTTCTATGTTTAACCTACTCTTACATTAAAAACTTAATTCCTACTTGAGCACTTTCAGGTAAAAACACAAAAACATTACTTATAATCTGTGTCTTATATTGAAGAAACGCTGTATGATCATTTATTGTATTCTGGTTGGATGTGAATCTAACACTGTCTCCACCTCTCGTACTTGGGAAGTAATTGAACTCATCCTATGTGACTTGACATTACAATGACTATCTTGGCTTCTAACTCTGACTTGATTACGGTCACCAAGAACAAAAGTAGTTAATCAACTGGGTTTCATCACGCTATCTATAATGTTACCTAACCTGATAAGTAGTTCTTTCAATCAATACTAATGGTTCAGCAAAGTAAACTTTGACGATTATGTAATGGAGTACAAAAATATTAAAATACCATTTTTTGTTTATTCTGAATTATATAACGTATTAATATGGTCACGTTATACTGGATAACGACTTTTCTGTATAAAACAAAAAAAACTATTCCGATTTTCTTAGCTTTATCATTAATATTAAAAAGTTCCAGTTAGCTAATAAATCGTGGTTAGTTTTTAAATCTAATTCCTTTTTGACTTTGGTAATCTAATTGAAAATTCTTTGTTCAGTTTTGTTGAAAGGTTAATTGATCTTCAATATTATTTGGTAAAAGAAAATTTGATATAATGTATATTTTTATAAACTTGCATTCATCATTTTAATAAAAATATTAGCTGATAAATGTAAGGATAATTCATTTTAGGGGAAATATCAGTTATCGACGTGGCCTTGAGCTTATTCAGCTTTCAAAAAGTCTTTGCATTCATCACCCTTTCATAAACCACATAAAAGTGTTTAAACTATTTGTAGCCTCTAAGTGGTCAGGTAACCACGAATTATGGAATGTCAGAGATATTCTCAAACTGTGAGAAACGTTTGTGGTTCTGTACCTCGGTGAGAGGCTGCAAATTTGTGGTTTTCCCCATAAGCTATCGTGAATTACAAGGTCCTTCCTAGCTTATGATCTAAAAAAAATCACACCACTCTAAATTGATTTAATTCTTAATCTTGTAAAAATGTGTGATCATCGCGTAATTGAGTATGCAGTTTTAAATGGCGCAATTAGTGGAATATTTCTTATTGATGGCTATATTTGGTTTATTTTTGTCTCAATCAGCCTTCCCGTTAGATTGTTTTACCATAAAGTAATGAGGAAAGCTTTAGTGAAAGTTTTAAGTAAGAGAGCAATCAATTTGCGTTCAATTTGTAAGCAAGCAAATCGCAGAACCGAAAGAATCCTTGAAACTTAAACCAAGTTCAACTCAACGTCATTTTCACATGTCATACTTCTACAAACTTGTAAACCATCTCTAATCTTTTTTAGGATAAAATAGTTTTTAAAAAGGTTTTCCTTACACCGATTGAGTTCAAAACTAGCTGTGTTGTTATACAGTTAGTGCTGAGAACGTATTATTGCAGTTTTGATTTTTTTTTTGAACAGTCTTATATTATGACACATTTAGTATTTGTTTAACTTACAATTATATTTTTAATTCTAAAAATGACTCATAAAAAATTGCAAACGATATAAATAGAACATAGTTTGATCGTGTCACCTATTGTGTGCTAGTGAGTGTACCGGCTGAAATACAAATCAAATATACTCAAATTGGTTTAATATTAACGAACATGAAACAAAAAGTATGTAACGATAGATAGAATTAGTTCCATAGTTATTATATAAATTAAAAGGCATGCAAAAATATCAAATAAGTACAAAACAAGGCTATTCTGGCCTTTTAAATTATGTCACCAAAGGGGTGTAATTATAAAGTCCGTTTAGAGCAAGTGATACTTTGTGAATTGTCTATTCTTTACACAGACCATTTACACAAAACAATAAATGTCATGTATTCGTACAATGGTACTCTCATAATGAAATGAATTGATTGAAAATTTTATGTACCACAGATGTCATGCTTCGTCACACTTGGGAAACCAATCGTTTAGTTAAGCACTGCATCTAAATTGTGTGCAAGCTTACAATTGATTACTTAACCTAGAATTGTTCACCAGCATGTAAAAATATGATAATTTTCATGGTGTACACTATAACCGGATATTGGTATTTAATCACGATATTTACTTGGGATATTCTGCAATTATAAAAGGGGCGTCAGGACCTGGCTTCACAAGTGGCAGTGATCACGGACATCAGGAACAATGAGATGCAGGTAACATGTCTACACCACCAAAAACTATAGATTGTAGATTGTAAGGGGATGTAGCAATATATTTGTTAGCCTAGATGGCCTGGTTATGTTCTTTACGTGTCCTTTGAGATTGGGTATCACCAAAGAGAATGTTACAAAAAAATACCCTAAATGAAGGAAGATACAAAAGTTTGTAAACTTCTTGGGTCTCGATCAATTTCACCAAAGATTTACAGGTTATTCAGGCACTTTTTACTAATATAGAAGAGCTAAAAAATTAACTTTCTTGTTATGCTCAGGTAAGCTTTATTGCAGTGTTCAAAATTCACTGCAAAAATGATGAGTCTTAAGTATGTATAAAGAAGTGTATTTTCTCAGATTTACCCTTGGTTTACAAAACACATTTCTTAATAATTGGAAAGAAAATTATTTTTATTGTGAACTCAATATTGGGGACTGAATTAATTGAAATTTACCCTGTGGTTGCCTTAGTTTTGGCAGTTCCTGAATATAAGGAACCTATAAAGTAAAACACCAACTGAAATATGTACGCTGTATTAAATACAGTTTTTCAATACGATTTAAGAACTAACATTGACTATGGTAATATACTATTCTTTATTCATCTTAGACAATTTTCAATTTATTCCTTAGGATACTGTAAATAATTAATTGCTCACATTGCTACAAGATTCAGATGAACAACGATGAACGAGGATGTTAGCCGAAGTGCTACAATTTTTAGTAGGAAACATGGACATAACTTTGTGATCATTGAGAATGAAAGGCCAAATAAATCTGGCACGTCAATGACATTAATCTATGTTTTCATAAAAGTCAAGTGAATAACTGACCCAGTGTTATAACTGAATTATTGTTCTAGTAAATTATTGTACACCACCCAACTTCTGATCATGAGTTCTAGGACTAAAGACTTATTTTTTGTTTTATGTAGGGAATCCGGTGTAAAATTTGTGGCATGGGGAAGTCGGATTCTTATGGGTGGCGAGATGGCAGATGCCATCGGTGTAGTAATTATCATTACAGAACAAAAGTAAGTAAAATTTCCATAGACACAGCTGTTAATTAATAGCCCATACAACTAATGGCAACTAAGGGATCTACAGTTTATAGTGGAATCCGAACCACATTTTTGCCTTGGTATATACGAATTGGTCTAATTTTCAGGATAGCACTGCAGATATCAAATCAAATCAAATATGCTTTATTCATAAAGTACAGTTTTGTACATTGAATGGTGTCAACTAAATCTATCTTAAATTAATAATTTACAGATTTGTATATTTTGGATCATTATCTAAATCAAAAACCAAGAACCAGGAAATGAAAATGATCGAAACTGTATCAATTACTAACGCTAAGAGGGGAGGTGGAAAAATACTCTTCGAGGGAATAGAACGCTTTCTCTACTAAATAAAGTTTTAGTTTTCTCATGAAATTTTTCCTGCTTTGTTCATTTCTGATTTCATTAGGAAGATGCTTAAGAAATTTTAATCCTATATAGGATGGTTTTTTTTTCATAGAATTTTAATTTATGTTTACTTGAAATAAGGTTTTTTTTTTCCGAGTGTTGTATGGGTGATAATTTGTCTCAGAGGTGCTCAAGCAGTTTTTTACTAGAATAATTGTGTCGTAGTACTCACTCTTGCAGACGTTAATCCACACCAGGGAGAGCTGAAGTCGCAAGTCTTAGTGTGAATGATTTATAATTAATAAGACCATACTGACGTATGCGTTTTATTCCAGAGAGAACGTCCGGTGAAATTTCGTAGATGAATCCACCAAAATTGTAATATCACTCCAAAGTGTAAATTTTTTTTTTTTTATTTGAATATTGTGTTATATTAAGTTAATATTTAATGTCATGATTAAACAATGCTTTTAGTATTTTTTATGATTTATTTTTGCACCCCATGCAAAGTTTTTTGTCAATTCCGTCCCAACTGAAAAACTATTTTTTAAATCATGGTAAATAATAGTCTTACTGTGTAATAATATCTGAAACACTTTGTACATTCATAATCTTCAACTGTAAAACTTGTTTTAAGGATTTTGATTTTAAAACAATTATAAAAATTATTTGTAAGTCGGCTACTCTCATAACTTTTCCCAACCTGTCTCTTATAGTTTAATTATTCTGAATAATCTGTTTTATAAATAATAAATGTTTTGAGTGTGTGATAAAGTATTATTTCCAGAACATTAATAGATACTTTACGGCTTCTAAATTTAAATGTTATACTGTTTTTATTCCAAAATTGAACATGGGACGGAAATGACTGAGGTGGGACGGAATTGACTTATACCGGAAGGAATTGAATATTATGGGACGGAATTGAACTTTTGTAGGCTGTTAAAACATCTGTATTTGAAAAAAGTACATGAATAAAGTACAATAATGTATTTAATGAATGTTTTTAATGTATTTAATGTTTAAGAACGTTTAAGAATGTTTAAGAATGTTTAAGAATGTTTAAGAACGTGACTATATAACGTAGTGTTATATAGTCAATGGAACTAATCAACTTGTTATACACACAACGTTGAGCCTCCGAATGGGATTTGGTCAGTTTTAAATCAATGCGATATTTTATTTCAAAGTGATTGAACATTTACTGTAATGGGAATTATTGGCAATTTGATAAAATACTTTTTGAATACTACACAACAGTAAACTGAAATAAAAAATAATAAAAGCTACTTTCAATCTATTATTGATATATTAATATTAAGGTGTATAAATTACATTGTTAGTTCAATAAACTGTTAGGCCTAGATATCATTTTTTTATTCATTACGATAGTATTATGTAAATGACAGGGGTCTGATGCGTACCATCGGTAAACAATGTAATGCAATTGACATTACAATCGCAAGTTCTAAAAAAATAGAGTTTACAAAACAGTTTATTCTATTGTATTACTTGAGATTTTCCCTCCTGCCTGAAGGAAGGCCTTTACAAATTTTACATTACACGATTCTCCCTGCGAGATACTTTAAAGTTCATAAATTATGTGGAGATGGAAGAAGAACTTCCTGGAAGTGAGTTAGCGTAGCAAATGAACGTTAACCTGGACGTGATTGAGCGATGCAAACGAGCTCATCTTGTAAATGAACGAGCATTTGACATAAAACCACATTAGGACAGGACGACGTCTGTTGGGCCAGCTAGTATATTTATAAGTTTAGATAAAAACATTAAAAATCATATTTTCCCCCATCCGTTATAGCATACACCAAAAATGTTTCGAGGCAACAGAGAAGTGGTTCATAAGATAACATTTTAGTTTCCTCTAAAATCTTTCTAACAAAATGAAGAATAAAACTCATCCTACTTCACACACACCAAGAACATACACTACACTTCAAGAGAAAAAAACCGTCCAACCCAAACGAAATGCCCTATGGTTATTCTGCTATTTCTATTTGTGGCGTGGATTTTCTTCCCCTTTGTGACTATGTTGTACTTCTCCTTCGTCGACGAGATCCTCGGTGCCATATATGAGCGTTTTCACTGCACAACAACAACAGCAATGACAACAACAGCCAAATATTAGTGATTTTTCTTCTCATCTGCTTTGTTGGCGTGGTCCTCTTCAAAGTATTTAAGTTTTTTCTCTTTAACAAGATCTTCTTGGCCATTTTGGTGATTTTTTGGCTCCTTATTGTATAGATATGTAATCAAAAATTTAAATAAAATTATATAAGGAAAGCAATTGTGTACAAATATTCATTTAGTCCTAGGGGAAACCATTTTAGAACATTGACATACTTAATCAACCTTAATAAGTATAAATATTATATCTAAATATAGGTCGAATAACATAATATAGAATGTATATTACTTGGGTACACAATTTATGTTTTTATTTCCAATGTATTGTATTCTTTGCAGTAACAAAATATTAACAATGTTTCACTCAGTATATATTTAAAATCCAATCTGTAAATATGAACTTGTTATTTGAATGGAATCATAGTCTGACCAAATGTAATATCAAAGGATGTTGCGAGACACCTTTCTTATACCTGAAGGAAGAAACGCGAATGTGTTATAAAATTAATTAAAATCCTAATTAACTAGTAAAAATGCTTGTATTTTTTAGTTTTTGTATAAACTGAAAGTATTTACTCAGGTTGTGTCACAAATTAACGTTTTGCAATGTCCACTCAAGAGTTTGCAGGTAATTTTCATATCACCCGATATCTAGCGGATTTCAACACAACTGTATGGTTATAGTTGCAATTCGTACCGCCTGGCGCACGCGTGTAGCTTTTTCAATGCCTGCATATTTTAAGCGTGTAAAACATACATTTCTGCGTAGTGGTAGCTCGTCTTTAATTAAGGTCCCTTACTTGTCCTGGTGCAACATTGTATCGACACCGCCTTTAATTTTTTTAAATAAAATGGGTTTTAATAACATGGGGTTTACATAACCATTTATTGGATTACTTAAGATAAAATTGTAAGATAGTGTCTTATTTTTTAATTATTTAATTAAAATAAAAACTTTACTTAAAGATATGGTAATATCAAGAGGTAAACTATGAGTGGGTTGATGAACTATAATACATTGTTGGATCTTACAAACAGGTTTCTTTCGTAAATGCTCTTGAGGAAAACACCTCAAAATTTACCCTTTGATGCATAGATTACAGCACACATCCTTGCTTTTACGTTTGTTGGGACAAGGAGATTATTGCTAAAAGCAACAGATAACATAAGAAGTTTCAATAAGCAAAATATCCCTCAGTCTTTTGGGCCGTCTTTTATCTAATGTCCTACTAAGGTCTGTCTATACACCTTTTATCTATGATTTAACCTGTGAAGTTAAATCTTTTTGAAATATCAAAATGAATATTTTCGACACACCAATGGAATTTCGCAAACCAAGAATATTGTTTACATATAGACACTAATTATACACAGAACATACATTGTCTTAAATGTTTCTTATTTCATTTGAATTAATTATACTTTTAGAATCAATCTGAGTTCATAATTGTTTAGTTATATTTCCAAAAGGGATAATTATTCGGAAGTACTCCTAAGGCTTGTAATTAAATTAACTATTTACAACTCATTAACCTAAAGTTCTTTCAGAAGCAGATACGTTTTTGTCATTTCAGTTTGGCCTTTGGAACTTACTTAATCACAAAGTTATAATAGCATTCCACAAAGCATTAACAACGCTTCCATTGACGGGGTGGAAAGAACATTTCTATTGTTCGTTTGTTGCGTTGTTAATTACAATATATTTTATCAAAAGCAAAAAGTTCTGTTTTAGGTTATTTAAAATTCAAATTGGTTTCTGTAGAATCTTTATTGCCCAAAGCAATTGTTCACTAGTGTTTTGTGTATTTAGTTTTAAACAAAGTTGACGCAGACCGATAGTTAATAGTAACAATTATTATATTATATTATTATATAACTTACTTAATCACAAAGTTATAAAAACCACAAAACATCAACAATGCTTCTATTTGCGGGATGGAAAGAACCTTTCTATTGTTAATTTGTTGCTTATTACCGTTTAGTATATTTCATCTATCAAAAAACCACTAAGTGGTAACACTTTTTCCGCCAAGTCAGCAATCCAAAAAAGATAATAAATCATTACTTTTACGCCAAGAAAAACAATGTAATGTATGTAAGTTTGGCAACTTGGTGGCAGACTTTTGATGGGTTTTTTCATTAAAGTTACGTTCGTGGATAATTTCACAAATCAACTTCTCTAATTAATTAGTCCAACTAAGTGTAATAATTTCGAGGTAATCAGTAAATATAAAACCATCACTATTATGATTTCATGAAATGCGGCACAAATAAGGTAAAATTTTGTAAAATAAGCTCTCACCTAGCAATGTACTAATGGGAGAGATACTTGCTCAATGAAACTAGTTTTATGGTATTTTTTAAAGTGATCGAGCAAAAGTCTGCCGCCAAGCTCCCAAACTTACATACATTACATTGTTTTTCTTGGCGGAAAAGTAATGATTTGTTATCTTTTTTGGATTGCTGACTTGGCGGGGAAAGTGTTACCACTTAGTGGTTTTTTGTTAGATTTTATTTATTTTTTGTAGAAAATTAACAATAAAAATCCTCTTTTCTCTGATATATAGACCACGGCACAACTACATCTAATTTAAAATCAATAATATTGTTTGTGTAGAACTAAATTCTAAATTTTTTGCCTTATCTGCTTTAAACCGATTAAAAACTTTTTGACACACGTACCAAAATTACTATTTAACAAACCCCCTGGGCTTAAACTCAGTTTCAAATTTCATTAATGGTCATCTTGAACAACATAAAATGCGTTGGTGTTACATAAGTGTTCTGATAATTATACCCACATATCTAAAGTCTATTGTAAATTGAGCCCTTAGAAGTAAAAATGTAATCAAACAGATTAGGTTTGTTAGAAATAGCATAAGGCAAAACTAATATTGAAAAACTCATTTATCCTAAATTTACATATCACTTTTTAATTGCTTGTTTAACATATGTAGAGTGATTTTCCCGATTGTTTTATTTTTTTAGTGTATCAAACATAAAACAAACCTTAGTACTAGTACTAAGTTTAAAGTTCCTAGGTTTCATATGTTTTGATAAGTAGTATTAAACTGTTAAAAATGACGAGCTGCTGTACCAGTATACCATCTGTACACTGCATTTTGCAATGGAAAGTATCGGGGAATATCACTGCTCTAAGTAATTTTATATAGTAAGTAGTTCAAATCATTCGGTATACCTGAAAAAATACTTTATAAAAGTTTTAAAAAAATTTTTCAGCTGTT